CGTCAAACAATTGTGATGTTGTCCGCCGCCCGCCGGCCCTGACCTCCTACCGCCCGCCACCTCCGATTCCGGCCTCCCTACTGCCGGCGCGCGCTCGACCCGTCGATCCGGCCTAGGTCGAGCAGGCACCGCTGGATCTCCTGCCCGTGACCCCGCAGGACCACTCTGCAAAGCTCCGCCACCGCAAGTTCCGATAGCCGGCACTGTTTCCTCTTTCTCTGTAGCCCCCGAGCCCTCTTTCTCCATAGCCCTCGAGCCCTCTTTCTCTGTAGCCGAATTTTGTAAATGATTATGTCCAGGTCTATAATTTTTGTGTGTGTGTGGAATTTGTTGCGTAATTTTCTTTGAGTGGAATTTGTTGCGTAATTTTCTTTGAGTGGAATTTGTTGTGTAAATTGATATGTACATAATGTTGTAGCTGCGATATTTTGATGGTTAGGTGTCATGTGAATCGATTATAGTAAATTTGTTGTGTGATGTTTAGGTGTCCTACGAATTTTTTTAATTACAAAAACTTTGCTATCTGTAAATTAGTTCGGCTGACGGCAAAGATGTTCTTGGTTGTCTGTTACTGAGATTGGCTGACAGCAAAGTTAACATCTTCGATGTCTGTTATTAAACCGGCTGAAGGCAAAGCTGCTCGATAAATAGCTGACGGCAAAGTACTCTTTACTGACATATCTTTATCGTCTGACTTTTTCAGCAGCTTTCTGATGGCAAAATCTTTTCCCTCTGTGATCCATACATGGCAAATTATCTGTTTCCTGTAGTGTACCAGAAGAACTGTAGCATGGTTCACAGACGATTACTGTTGCATGGTCATTGTACCAATCGGTTCAAAAATTTGCGAATAGATTTTGACAAAAATGAGCATTTTAAAACACAACCATTTTCAAGTAGTTTGGGGACATTTTCTAGAAGTACATAACAATTCAAAAAACTCAAACAAGTTTTAAATTTTTTGAAAACTTTTGAAATTTCAAATATTTTTTAGAATTTTGAATAAATTTTAGATTTTTTTATTATTTAAAAAACATGAACAATTTTGTATATTTCAAACCATTTTTAAATTCCAAACAATCTTTGAACATTTTATGAAATTTATGAATAAAGAAAACTAAAAATGAAAGAAGAAATGGAAAGAAAATCAGAAAACCAGTAAAAATAACAAAAGAGAAAAAGGAAAACCGGTTGAGGACCGTCTAGAAGGTTCCCAAAACTTGACAAGGACTTGCTAGAAGGTTCTTAAAACCAGGAGTGTGCATTGCACATGTTTACTCAAATTGGCCGGCCAAATATATGGTTTGCTCATTCGTAGCATGTGTGAAGGGTGGCCATTTTGACGCTTAATACGTCAAATGGCAGGAAACACATTTCGCCAAAAAAGACAGCAGGAAACACAATTTATAAAAAAAAAATCTACTACCTCTATTTTTTTTAAACGAGAGTATGCAAATTGCGTACCATAGCTTTATAAAAGAAGAGAATATCAAATACAAGACAACTACCACTCGCTGCGAACAACGAGCGTAGCACAGCTTCACATCTGGCAAGCCACAAACATCCACACACTACAACACAACTACAACGCAACATAGTCTGCCAAAAACCGAGAGCCTCGCCGCGTCTCGACCGATGTCAGTCACCTCCGAAGAACAGTAACTCTGGAAGAAGGCACCGTCTTGGAATCACCAGCGACGACCGTACATTGCGCCGGAGCAGAACGATCAGGGCAACGGCAAACACCGGAGGAGCGCAACATAGGATCATCAAGTCTCCTGGCACGATGCTCCCAACAGAGGGACACCATCGAAGACGCTGCCATCGTGTCGATCCAGCACAGAATCAAGGCTTTCGCCCGGAGACCGCTACCAACCCCAAGCAGGCGAGGAGGATGGCGACACACTCGACGACGCCTCCGAGGCGGAGAATGACACCCACGGGTGCCATCGCCGCCGGCCCGGTCAAAACCGGACAGGATTTTCATCCGTAATGTCGCGCATCTCCACACCTCAAAGGTTATGGTCAGCATTGACCCAGATGCCTCGCATCGCCATCACCACAGCAAATTGCCGTCGAAGCTGCACAGCCGTGTTCCTCCCCACCCGCACTGCAGGGAGAATGCGGCCCAATCCACCAACCACAGCCAAGGAGCAGCAACATCCAACCATGCCGAGCAAGTGCCAGAGCCACCATGTCGGCCTTCACCCACACCAGGGGACTGCCACAGGAATGGATCTGACCCAGGCCTCTGACCACTCCGGCGCCAACTCCTTCGAGGCATCACCGCCCGCCCCTCACGCGGAGGCGGCCGACCGCCCACTGCCAGCCAGGATGTCCTTCCTGGCAGGGCCACCGTCAGAGCTGGCACACCACCCTCCTCCACTACCTTGTTGCACACCTCGCCTGGATCCGCCACACCGCCGTGCTCCCCGCCGTGCACCAGCGGCCACCACCGCGAAATGCGCCGCCAGCCACCCCACCACCATGGCCGAGGGGAACATGGAACCATCCACACCTCCACCCCGACAGAAGGACAACAGCCAACCAACACCACCGGCAGGGCAAGGGACGCCCGCAATGGCCGTCACCCGCTCAAGGGACGACCTTGCAAATCCACCGACACCCACGCTACAGAGCGGAACCGAGTAGGCCCAGATCTGATCCGCCCCACCGCGGACCGCGCCTCCACGCCTGCGTTGCCAGGAGAAGAACGCCGCTCGCCATACAACCCATCGATGGCCGGACGCACGCTGCTCGCCAGGGACCTCCTGGCCGAGCCTGTCTGCGCCGCCATGGATCTGGCCTGAAGCTCGCGCCGCCACCTCAAGACCACACCGCCGCGCCCGTCCTCCACCAACACACCGCTGCCCACGCCCGACCGCCACCACCACACCGCTCCTCCACGTCCCCTGCCGCGCGCCGGCGAAGAACCGCGCCGCCGCCCACGCCAGCCCCTGCGCAGCCCTGCGGACAGCCCGCCTCCGCGCGAAGGAGTAGCCATCCACGACGCGCCGCTTCGCGCCGCCGCCTTTGACGACAGGGCGCGGCCGCCACCGGAATGTTTTGGCAGTTTAGGACCAAGGGTAGAGGGTGTATTTTACAAGGTTACATTTTTTAAAGCACATTTTTTTATTACAAGGTTACATTCTTACAAGAGGTTAAAGACCGCCTAGAATAGAGGTTAAGCTCTAATTCTTTTTTTTTGTGAGAAAGGTTAAACTCTATTCTAGCCCGTTACATTGGGGGTAGCTGGACGCTTTTTACAGTCCGATTCGATCACTCGCTTCTCAAAAAGAATTAGAAGGAAAAAAAATACCCCCATTCGCTTAGAGCTGACCAAGTCCTCCACTTTGCGCCGCCGCGTCCCTCGCCGTCGCCTCGGACTCAGGAGCCCCTGAGATGTAGATCCGCCTGCCGGCTGCTTACTACCAGGTCAGTGAGCAACGATCCGTAAATTCTGTGATTACGGTGGGGATTCGTTCACCTGCTGGGGCTAGGGCCAGGGACGACGGACGGGCGGGGGCGCCGGCCGGCCGCAGGGGGTGACGGAGCTTGCGGGTGGGGAGGGCCGCCGCCGTGGAGGAGAGCTTAAGGCGGAAGAGTGGCGTAGATTTCATACAGAGCTGTTCGTTGTGCTTGTTTCCCGTTGCAGACAGCAAATCCGGTCCTAAATAAATCCTCAAGTGCCAAATTTCATATTCCGGTTTGGATACTTACTAAATCCCCTGCGCTCTCGCCAAGGGTGGGACTACTGTTACTGTTGTGTGCATCCATTTTCTTTCTCAGGACTCAGGAGGACGGCGTATGGTTCTTTCGCGATTGTTCTCTTCTTTTTTATGGTGTGCTATACTACTACTTGATAGCTGAAAAAGGGGAGCCTTTGTTACAAGCGATACTACCAAGTTGAGAAGCCAATGTGCCCCATGGTTGTGGATTCTCTTTTTGAAAAACAAAAAATGGCCTCATTTCGATGCTACCTAGCTAACTTGGAAAATAGTTTATGTGGGTCTATTCTCTTTCTTGGGACAGTCCCGATTATCCACTTCTTTTCTATGGCTGAAAATAAGAGCCTTTGGTACAGGTGATATTACCAGATTGACAAGCCAATGCTCTGTGAATGCTAGCTAACTTGTGAATACTAGTTCCTAATATCACTAGACACTTGGTTACTTTGAGCGTCAAATATAAAGAGCAGAAATTCATACTTTAGCCCGATGTCGGCCGGATATGCATAAATTCTATGTAAATAAATTAGTGGATACACAACGAATATGTTCTGCAGTAGACGGATGGGAAAATGGGTTAGCGGATACCTTAAAAGCACTCAAAAAAAAAAAGAACGGTGATCTCCATCACACAGCGGGCCTCTCAGGCTGAACTTCATTTGGAATCGGCCATGGCCATCAGTCTGTATCGAGAGTTATTGTATAATGGGCTGGAATTTCTCTAGGTATGCAAATTCATTGTCATGCTTTGCATATAATACCATTTCTACAATTTTCTTGTCCGGCTCATAGTTGGGTATTGAAAATTATTTTTCCATATCCAAGGGTGGAACTTTTACTAACCATTGCGGAGTATCTTTCAACAGTTACTGTAATGTAGTTCCATTTTCATTTTTGGGACAACTTATGGGGAATCTTTTTGAGAATGTTGGTTCATTTTTGTGGTACGCAACTGAAAAAAGCTGTTATTAGAAATGGAGTTTTCAAACTGAAAAATATTTTTCTCTGTATTAACACCTTGCTGTTGTTATTAATACCATTGGTTGGTAGATACATATGGCTAATCGTATCATGTAGAGGACCAAATCCCCTCTCACATAAGTGTTCACAAGATTTCTGCAGTGTGGTTAATTAATGATGATCTGCCTTGTTGGATTCATGCAGCCCATCTGTTTGAAAAAATGTGCTTCCAGTTCCAAGAGGTCGCCCGGACCAGCAGCTCATGGTGTTGACAGACTCAGCAGCCTTCCTGAACCGCTGCTCCATCTCGTGATGTCCTTCCTGCCGATGCCAGAAGTCGTGCGCACAAACTTGCTCTCCCCAAGGTGGCGCTATCTGTGGGCCTCTGTGCCGTTCATCCACCTAGATTACAAGGACTTTGTGAATGGTGGTGATAATCTAGAGAAGAGAAAAATCGATCAGAATAGGCTGCAGAAGTTTGGGGACCAGTTGCTACTCTTGCGTGATGGCACTCTGCCCCTGGATGAGGCTCGGATCTTCATCAAATGTGGTTGTTTGTATGACAATTGTTGTACATGGATTCGTCATGCTATCAGGCACAAAGCTCGTATGCTTCATGTTTACGCTCCCCGTGACACCAAAGTAATGTTTGATAACAGAGCCATGGTTCCTTCTCAGCACCTGAAAACAATGAGACTTGAAACGGTCTATGTGGATGACAGATTCTTTAAGGCGCTGAATTTTGAATCCCATGTGCTTGAACATCTAGAGCTGGAGTCTTGCACTATCTATGTCGCCGGGCAGAAGATATCATCAAGCTCACTCAAGATTTTATCCATATCCCGTTGCCATCTCTACAGAGATCTAGAGATTTGTGCTGTGAACCTGAACCATCTGTCTATCCTTGACCCAACATTTGAATCTCCCAGAGGGTCTGTCATAGTAACTAGGGATCTGTGTTCTTTAGTTACAGCTTGGATAAGTCTAAGATCTGGTGTCCATGGCGATCGAGACGAAATACTGGATTATGGAATACTCGATGGCCTCTCACACGTCACAACCTTGGAGTTGCATGCAGCATTACCAGAGGTATGTTTTTTGTTCAGGTTCTTCTCTGTTCACATCCATCCTGGTCTAGCTGGATGTTGTCGGTTGCGTTGCTAGATGTTGCATTATTAGGGACGTGGAGTATGTGATCACGAGCTCACAGGAGCTCGGAATCTCGTACATCAGGTATTGCATTGCGATTTGGATAATTCAATGTAGCGTCAGGTCGAGGGGCCATGTGGGACAGATTAATCCAGATATACAACTGTATACACACCTGCCTTGCGGGTCCCTGGTTACACGGACGTTTGCACGCCATGGACGGAACGAGGCAGAGCCGTGGCTCGACATGTCGCCGGCGTCCTGATCCGTGGATCAGATCTGGCGCTGGCCGGTAACGGCGGTAGTGACCGGAGTTAATGCGCTAGAGGGGTTGGTCGTTGGCAGCATCTACCTCCTACCTCCAGACCTCGCTTCCTCCATTGCCGAGAGCGGCGACCCCGTGGAGAAATCTGGTGCAACAAGGCGACGACCCGCTGAGGGAAGCATGGAATTCTTGATGCAGGTATGGGTCTGCTTGCTGCTGCTGCTCATTGGACACCATTTTGTTATAGAAAACTTGTCAGAGATCTGATTTGGTTGCCTCCTATCTTTGGAAGCAGCAGGACTTTGCTAGAAGAGGTGAACGGGAACAACCTGATCATGGAGAGGCACCGTGAGGACGCCGCCGGTCGTAGAGCTGCCGGCCAGGACGGTGTCGAGTGCTGATGGCCAGATTTGTGCCGAGGGCGCTGATCCAGGGGCAGGCAGTGCAGACAATCCTCAAGCTTCAGAGCACTCCATCCAGCAAGTTGACCAAAAAACATCTGGATGGACGCAAAGGTACGAAGATTAGTGGTGGGAACTAGGTTTGTCTGTCATTAAGCATTGTGCTGACCACGCAGGATATATTGACAGTAAATCATATATACTGTAGTAAAAATCTGAATATGTTGTTGGTACGAATTAACTGAAAAGTTATATGTGGCATCATTAGGAGACATACTGTTATAGATACTAGTGTCTAAACAACAAAGTGTATATCCACTTGGGTAAAGATAACTAAGTCTGCACAATATGTATTTACAAAATTACTAGTGAATGTAGTTTCAGGGCGTACTGAACTATACGAATGAACTGAAAATTTCTGGCATACTTTCTCGACAATGCAAGATCTGAATTGGGGCTGCCGCACTAGGCAGAGGCGGTTCGGAATCAGATATGGGAAGAGCAGGCTGAACGTATACCGGACAATGCATGCAAGAGATAGTATGTGGCTGCACGGTATGAATTTTTTGTGTTCATTTTTCAAAGTTTCTGATTTGGGCATTTATCGTTTTTGCCATGAATAACTGAAATCATGCTGATCAAACTATTTTCAGGGGAAACCAATAGTTGAAAATACACACACTTGTCGGTGTGAGTGCCCTGCCCTTACAAGATTGCTGCGTTCGAAGGACAATGGGTGGTACATAGCGGAGCATCGTGATGAGCACAACCATTTGTTGTCCCCCTCCTATGGACACACAATACACTGGCCATCGCACAAGCATATCAACATGTACAGCAGGGATCTAGTTAAGCAATTGTGGCAGAACAGTTAACCTTGCAAAGGTGTACATCATAACTGGGAGCTTCTTTGGCAGGATGGAAAATGTACCAGTTCACGAAAAGAGCATTGCGTAGTCTGTGTGGCAAAATTAGTCGTGAGCAAGCAGAAGATGACACCAGGAAAGCAAAAGCAAAGGTGTACAGCATAATTGCTTCCAGGAACTATGCTCAAAGGATCCACAGTTCACATGTCGAGTTCAGGCGAACAAAGAAGGAAGGATCAACACTGTAATGTGGGCAACTGGCAGCAGCAAATTGCAGTACAACTTCTTCCGAGATGTAGTAACATTTGATACAACCTACAGGGCCAATCTATATGACATGCGGTTTGGTCTTTTTGTGGTTGTTAACAACCATTTTCAGAGCATTATACTAGCTGGTGTGCTGGTTCGTGATGAGAAGGTTGAAACATTTGAGTGGGTTTTTGCATAATTTATCAGGATAATGGGCGGTACTGCTCCACAAACAGGTATCATGATCTGAATTGCTATGTGAATCATATTAAAACTTTCTCCTGTAGATCATTACAGACCTGACACTGAAATGATGTGTTTGATTTTCATATCAAAATCGAGCAATGGTAAAGGGCAGCCCCAGTGCATGTAGCTCCCGCTTGCGCAGGGTCTGGGGAAGGGTCCGACCACTTTGGGTCTATTGTACGCAGCCTTTCCCTACATTTCTGCAAGAGGCTGTTTCCAGGACTTGAACCCGTGACCTCATGGTCACAAGGCAGCAGCTTTACCACTGCGCCAAGGCTCCCCTTCAAAATCGAGCAATGGTAGTAGCAATAAAAATTTTGATGCCAGACACAACTCACAGATGGTGCAAACGACACGTGCGGAAGAATGCAAAAGAGTCCTTGGGTCCTTTGTACTAAAGAAGAGTGACTCCCTTCCTGAATTTCATAAGGTTATTAATCACATGGTGACCATAGATGAATTTGAAGAAGCCTGGAAGTATCTTGTGGAGAAGTACAACCTGAAGAACTACACTTACATGAAGTAATTGTATGAGATCCAACACAAGTGGGCGAAGCCTTATTTCAAAGTGTATTCTGTGCTAAAATGACGAGTACATAGCGGAGTGAAAGTGCGAACCACATGTTGAAGAATTATGTGCCTCCTGGATGCCTGATGCATAGTTCGTGAGGAAGTACATGCATATAGTTAAGAGATGGACCCATGATTGCCGCACCTAACTCAGTACCAACGGCGGCCGTGCTTAGGAGAACCCGTTTAGTTTCAGGCATTTCAATATGTATATGCACGCAATGGAGCTTGTGCGGATGGGAGACACCGAGACAGTAGTGTAGAAGCATATGAGCACATGATAAAACTGTTCAAGCATTGTGAGGCTGAAATGAAACCATACACAGAAATGAGGGACGGCCTAGGACTGGAGGACAGGTTGGCTGAGAATGGAGATGTTCTGAATCAGGTTCAGTCAGAAGGCGTTGTGTTGGCTGCAATAGTAGGTGGACATGTTGATATGGAGAACGGTGGCAACAATTCAACACATAAATTGGGAAATATGCTTGCAGGTTTTATTACCTCCAGCTAAGCGCAAGCAGATAGGGAGGCCTACCACAAGTATGGATAAGGCACCATACGAAGGGTTGAGTAAACGGACCAGATTCTGCAGCATTTGTCGGCGACAAGGCCACAAGAGAACAACTTGTCCTGATCGTGGTGATGTACCGAAACAACCACGAAAGCTGGCAAGATGCAAGAATTGTGGCGTTAAAAGCCGCCGTCGAAACAATTGTCATAAGGCGGGTGAGCTGAGACGGACGTAAATGTGTGAACTATGTGACCAGGGAATGTCATGAACTTGTGGTCTATTTGTATAATTAGAATTTGTAGCTTGTTTGTTGGACATGTGCTTATAAAATAATTTGCTTTCCATCAGACCTTGCTTTGACAGTTTATAATGTTTAATGGATTCTATGGCATAGTTGGTAATGACTCTAGTATTCATAAATTAGACTTGTTCAGTGTGAGTGTATTGATACTACAGGGTTGCAATGTTCAGAGGGATTTCATGCCCAAATTTAAGATTCTGCATGATCTTTTTTATTTGAATTACCACGTGTCAAGTACATGCAGCAGATGCATCTGAGTGGCTTCAATCAGTGGCATCAGAGGGTGTGTGGGATGGGTTGAGCTTCGTTCTCACATGGTGCATCTGCAGTGAGCAAGTCTGAAGAATACAGACATGGGAGCGACTTCTCGATTCAGGTATGCATTGCCAGTCCAGTGATTATCCATTCGCTAACTGTAAGTACACGTAGACTGATGTGGTGAACACTGCAGGCTGCTGCATCTTCGGAGGCGTCAGTCAATCAACGAGCAGATCCTGAACCGGCAGGGAGTGCACACTCGGTGCTTTCTTCACTGTCGGATTATGTGCGCACATGGTAACTGACCATTACAAAACCATTTTGGCCTGCGTGTTAACAGTTTGTGTGGTGTTCAGGATATGAGTGAAGGTGATGGTAGCGACGCAGAGGTAGCGAACAAGCTGAATGGTGGGATCCAACTGCAGGAGTATGCAGTTGCAGAGGAGGGCCATGCGGATCACGATCCAGCGTCTGCTAACTCGACGGCCATCTCTGAAATGGGCTTGCCGGTGGACGTTAGTCCAGAATCTACATATTACCGGCCCACCTCATCCATCTTCATCTGATCCATGTTGATGGTAACTGACGGAAATACCTGGGCGTCAACTGAGTTGTGGGCCATAGCACATAAAAAAGAATATAGCTGAATCAATGTACCTGTGCGAATGCCTGCATGTGCACTTATCACGAGGTGAATTGTCGGCACTGATTCCGGGATCACTGCAGCCCGGGCTCACATGAGCACTTTCGCATTATTAGCTGCCTCTTGATAATAATGTAAGACGCCATTTACATTATTTTTCTAATCAATTATGTCGCCTAATCTCATCTTTGATGAATATGAAGCTCACACTCGAGAGTGGTTTGCAAACATGCCCGGTGTTCGGCAACCTCATAAGGCTGGTGCTGGACGAATGGTGCATGGCCTCCGACTTCTCTCCGCTGCTCTTCATTCTCCGGCGCTCGCCTAAACTGAAGGATCTGGACCTTTAAGCTTGGAATGGTAAGAGTACAGCTGATTTCAGATATGCCTATGCAGTGTCGGCTTTTCTTCCCCTGAAACCTTTGACTAATGCTGTACCACTGCCTTTTTGGTACGCCGCAGGAGCAGTGTGTACTCTGCAAGGATGCTGCTGATCGTGATCTGGCTCCAAGGAAGGAATCCTCGTCGGGCGGCTGTCCAAGGATAGAGAGGTCCGTGATATACTGTGGCAAAGATGATCTAAGGGTCAGCGCGCTTGTGCAGGTGCTGCTACCGATTGTTATCCCAGGTGGAGAAATCAGCATCAAAGGTTACTAGAAGTATCCTATCATCCTATGCATGCCTGGGCCCCTATGACCGACTTCT